CAAATAAGGGTCTCAGTTGTTGGGCACAAGCACATTTTTTTTTCTGAGAAAGTCAGATGTCACTTTTGATTTCAAATGAGCTGATGTTTTTCAGGTACTCATCACTCATGTAATTTGGGATTTGCCTGTCCTTTGACGTAGGAGTCATTTTTGACTGATCAAAGAAGACAATAGGTATTTCAGTTGGTAGCTGTTAGGATTATTGCTCAGGTGTTAAGAATAATGTTCAAGGTATTAGGATTTCTTTAATGTGGTTTATTTGAAGAAGGCCCATGAGCCTTTTGAAGGCTAAAGAAGCACCTTGTTTTGTTTTGTTCTCTGAAGAGTTGTCAGTAACAATTAGAAGAAGGTCATTGCTGGGGCACCTGGGTGGCTCAGTCAGTTGAGTGTCCAACTTTGGCTCAGGTCATGACCTCATGGTTCGTGAGTTTGAGCCCCGCATTAGGCTAGATGCTGTCAGCGCAGAGCCAGCTTCAGATCCTCTGTCTCCCCCTACCTGCCCCCTGGGCTCATGTTCTTCCTCAAAAATAAAATAAGCATTTGAAAAAAAAAAAAGATGGTCATTGTTGAGGTGGTTTTCAGTTAGCTCTGAATGAGTTCCACCTTTGCTCCCACCAAGTGATGGTGGTAAGTCTCCCCAACCTGGCAAAGGTGGGGAGATTAAATTAGGTCTGTGCTCCTTAACAATAATAACAAAATAATACTAATAGTGCTGTTTGCTTCTGTCATTTTCCTGTTGTCAGGTACTGTTGTAAAGGCTTTATGTATCTTAATGAATTGAGTTCTTGCAATAACCTCAGGATACAGATGCGTCTTTTTTAGCTTCCATTTTCCAGGTGAGGAACCTGAGGCGTAGAGAGTTTTAGATGAGGCCTTCTCGGTTACCTCTCCCACATTGTGCCCTTGCCCCTTTTGCTTAATCCTTCTGTTTCAGCTGGCTTTGCTTGAGAATGTGCCCTGCATGCCTCCCCTTCCGAATACCCTTTCCTCACCAGTAATAATGGCTTCCCTTGATGCTTACCATGGCAAGGCGCCATGCTGATGCTTTTGCAAACGTTGAATTGTCACAGCCCTACTTGATGGGTGATGTGAGGGCTAGTTTCTAGTTTCCCCAGGAGGAGGCTCGGAGAGGTGACCTCACTCAGTAGACGGCTGAAGCAGGGTAATGCTTGCAAGTCCGTCCATATTGGCCCCCAGCGTTGCAGGCTGCGTGTGGCCCACCCCCGGCATCCTTTCCCCTCTGTGGTTCCTTTTTTGACCTACTGCTCCCTTCCAATGTCTCAGCCACTCATTTATCATCTGTGATGGGCAGTTGACCATTCTTACTTTCAAGTATGTATGTGGCCTGGGAGCTCACCCAGGGAGCGTCTGTCTCCTTGGGCTCATAGATCCAGTGCCTGGCTCTCATAAGCATCTTGCTAATGTTTCTTGTTGCTGACCTGTGGTGGTGACGACCCCTCTGCTATCTCAGCCTGTCTGGCCATGTGAGGCGGGCTGCTTCCTGGGCCGATCCGGGTGGGTACCCTCTTTCTTTCAGAAAGGCTTGCTGTGGTGAAGTCAGATTTAGTCAGAGAAATGCACATGTGCTTTTTTCTGGGAATAGGTAGATCAATATGGAATTGGGTGTGACCCATCACTTATAAGTGCGCCCACTCTGCTGGTTGTATGATAGCTCCTTTCTAAAATGCGGAGTAATGGAGTATCACCCTTTTGTTTATTTTTGGGGGGGATTAAATCTGGGTCTGTGATGGGTTTGCTCATAGTGGAGTTTCTGGAATTAATGACTAAAGTTACTTTACTCTATTTATATGGGTAACCAAATCCATAGTTTTGTTGGTGTGTTTGACAGGATTATTTCAGCTATTTCAAATTCTAAGTTTTTGACATCTCAGTGACTTTGTGAAGTTTGCTTTCTTATGTACCCAAAGCCCTTAGTTTAAGTCTTATGTTAAAATGTTAATTAATTAATCAATTTTTAAAAAATGTTTATTTATTTTTGAGAGAGAGCTTGAGCACGCAAGAGTTGGGGGTGGCACAAAGAGAGGAGGAGAAAAGATCCAAAGCAGGCTTTGCACTGACAGCAATGAGCCCAACGCAGGGCTCGAACTCACCAACTGTGAGATCATGACCTGGGCCAAAGTCAGTTGCTTAACCGACTGAGCTACCCAGGTGCCCCTAAGTTTGTGTTAATTTAAAAAGAAGTTTGAGTGTGGCAGTACTGTTGTCGCTGCATTTTTACAAACCCACCTTTTTGCCAGGAAAGGGATGGATTGGTTAGCTGTGAGGGGCTGGCTTTAGTCTGTCCATTTGGGAGGAAGTGGAGATGGGCAGATAGGAAGTCCCATGGCCAGACCCTCCTTCCCAGCCTCATGTGGTTATTGTGAAGATTGGAGAGAAAAACAAGATTTTTTTTCCAGAAAGAGCAAAACCACTCTGACTTCCAGGCCTCCAAGTGGAGCCAAGGGGGCTCAGCATACCTTTCATTCAGTTCAGCCTGTGTCTGGTGCCCCGTGTTTCTCTGAAGGAGATATAACATCAGCTCAGCCAGACAAATGGATGTTTTGAAAAGCACAAAACATTCTAGCTGTGTCAAAAAAACAAATATCCAGTGATTTGTGGGATTAAACCCTGAAAGCTAGGAAGAAATAATGAACTTCAGAGCTTTCTAGAAGGAAAAAGCCATGATTTAAGTATGGGATCATGGCTACATTTTAATTTTTTATTATTTTATCTTTATTTTTTATTTTTTTTAACGTTTTTATTCACTTTTTGAGAGACAGAGAGAGGCAGAGTGCAAGCAGGGGAGGGGCAGAGAGTGAGGGAGACACAGAATCTATAGCAGGCCCCAGGCTCTGAGCTGGAGCTCGATGCGGGGCTCGAACCTATGAGCCGCGAGATTATGACCTGAGCCAAAGTCGGCTGCTTAACCGACTGAGCCACCCAGGAGCCTCTATCTTTATTTTTTAATAAACTTTTTACTTTGAAGTGATTTTAGGTTTACAAAATCACTTCAAAGTAAGTTACAGAGGTCATGCAGAGGTCTACTCTACCCCTTGGCTCAGTTCCCCCAGATGCCAGCCTTGGGTTTCCATGATGCTTTCATCCAGACCGTGGAAGCAGCATTGGTCCATTAACTGACACAAGGCCCTGTCCCCTAGGTGTCCTTCTCAGACCTGACACCTTAGGCAGTTCTTCTGAGCTTGCTCTGGGCTCTGATACTTTCTCAGTGAGCCTCATTCAGCAATTGTGTGACAGTAAGGCCAAGTTCCAGGTTATCAGGCCTAAGACCACAGAGGTGACTGCCCTTCTCAGTGGGGTGGTGCCACATCTTGTCACTGGGATGCTGGCCCGTGGCCCCTCTGTAGCCACAGTGGCTTACGTTCTTTCTCCAAAAAGGTGTGGGCTTGCTTGAGAGAGTAGTGGTCTTTCCTCTTGTCTTTTTCTCTTTGGAAGGAAATGAGGGCCCTGTGGATGGGGTGGTTAGCATTCAGTTGGAAGGAAGGCTGGTTCGTGCAGACTTCTAAGCTATGCCAGCTGTCACTGTACCCTGTTGTTTCCCCTGGAACCCTGCGTGTTCCCTTGTGTCCTTATAGATCTTGTAAGTCCTTATCTAAGTGTAGCATGCATACAAATCCCAAGGGAAACACAGCTGTGTTTCCTGTACCTGGCAGGAGGGGACAGCAGAATGTTCTGCAGGTCTAAGTTGTGGCTGACGCATGTGTGTGGGCTGAGTTCCGACACCAGAGGGGGCATGTTCTAGAACTCAGAGTGGTGAAGGATGAGGCAGGAAGACATGTTGTGTTGACATGTTGGGGCTTCTCAACCTCTGGGGGCACTGTGTGTGGACGGGGCACTGTCTTTCTGGGTGTTGTTGATGTCACTGACCCCTGTCCTCGGAGCCACACCAGGCCACACCCAGGAGCCACGCCTGGGGACCATGCTAGTCATGGCTAGATTTTTTTTTTAAGTGTTTATTTATTTGGGAGGGGAGGGGCAGAGAGAGGGAGGAAGGAAGAGAGAAAATCCCCAGCAGGCTCCATGCTCAGCACAGAACCCGATGTGGTGCTCGATACCACAAACCAAGAAAATGACCTAAGCCAAAGTCAAGAGTCAGACACTCAACCGACTGAGCCACCCAGGTGCCCCATGCTTAGAATTTTTTAAAAAAGTCAAATGCAACTGTTTTCTTAAACTGTAGTCTAAACATGATTTTAGTTATTTTGGTTTGATTCTACTAAATTATACCATGTTTTCTATTTGGCCTTTCTCATTTGGATGGAAGGAATGAATGAAACAAGAGGAGTGATCTTTTGTTTCAACAAATGATTGCCACCACCATGACAGATATAAGATGTTAGCATTTTCTTTATAATGTGGTCTGCCTTCAAAATGGCCGGTTCTCCTTGAAAAGAATTCAGGTAAATGCGGTAGATACTAAACCTGTGTACACGTGGGTCCATTTTCCATGAAGTCAGTGCTCAAAAATTTCATTTATCATGCCTCGCTGAGCTGTGTGGCTTTCCATATTAGACTTTGGCATAACTGCTAAGGTTGTAGCTGTGCTGTGTGTGTGCCGGGGTGGGGGGTGGTGGTGGTGGGGGCTCCGCATTTTCTCTTTTGAAATGATTAGATTGTGTGGGCGTCATTAAGACCTACTTACCTAGGCGGTGTGGTTTGTTTCACTGCCAGAGAGCTGAGAGTTTGGTACGTTTTACAAATAGGCCTCCTGCAGTTCCTTTTTCCTACCTTTGTCCAGCTGTGCATCTTGCCAGGAATTACTGCTGTGAGTTCTCAAGTTCACAGGAGAATGTTTCTAAGAGTTTACGTGGTCAGGGGTAGGTCAGTGGCACCATGCAACATGGTGGGCAGCTCTTGCCTGGGCCCCCCTGCCCATCTCCTTTGTCTCCATGTGCTTAGCTTGCAAGATGGTGCCGCCTGACAGATTGATCGATAACTGTCTCTCCCCTTCTCTTTCCCCCTCTATCCCTCTCTTCCGCCAGGCGGGCACCTCAGTGATGTCTGGCACGGGAGAGAGCACTAATCCTGAGAACAGCGAGCTCAAGTACTCAGGTCAAGATGGGTTGTACATAGGCGTCAGCCTGGCCTCTCCGGCCGAAGTCACATCCTCGGTGAGACAGGATTCCTGGTGCGCCCTCGCCCTGGCCTGAGCCCGCTGCGGGGATTTTGTCAAGCCGTCCAGACCAGGGCGAGTATGCTGACAGAACATTCCTCTGACGCGTGATTTCCGTGCCTTTATTTCGAAAGAGATGTATTTCCCAAGAAAGAGGCTTGCTCTGCCTTACCACCCTGCCCCTGACTCTGAAGAGCCAGAGAGAAGATGGAGGGCTTCCAGGGAAGGGCCAGTGCAGCCCACAGCACGTCACCTCCTCCTGGACACGGCCACTTCCAGCCAGCCTGCCTCTGGGTGTGCCGGGGGATCTGACGTCCTCTGTGCCACTTCCAGAAACTGGGACTAGGACCGGGGCCTTGCCTGCTAAGGAATATTGAGAGATTTTTTTTTAAAAAGGGTTTTATGTGTATTGCCCCAAATCATGTGCTTCTTCTGATCGGTTTTGGTTATTCCAGAATTTCTTCGTACCTTTTCCACACCTGAATTTCACGTGCTTTCATGGAGAAGACCATTTGAGGCCATTTGGTACACACCTCTGGAGGCTGAGTCAGTTCGTGAGGTTTCTCGTCAAAAATATTACTCCGTGTGCAAGACTGCATTATGACTTAACGTACACTGTGACTGATGTCTCAAAGTTCACATTGTGGGACTGACCTGAGGTCAGTCGGGATTTGTAAACAGGGTAGCAAACAAGATATTTTTCTTCCATGTAAACAATAATTTTTTTAAAAAGTGCAATTTGCGTTGCAGCAATCAGTGTTAAATCATTTGCATAAGATTTAACAACATTTTTTATAATGAATGTAAACATTTTAACTTAATGGTACTTAAATAATTTAAAAGAAAAATGTTAACTTAGACATTCTTATGCTTCTTTTACAACTACATCCCATTTCTATATTTCCAGTTGTTAAAGAGAAATATTTCAAGAACAAATCTTCTCTCAGGAAAATTGCCTTTATCCATCTGTTAAGAATTTTTATACAAAAACACCAGTATCCCCTCTTTATTTTACTGTGGAATTTGTGCTGGAAAAAATTCAACAAAACTTTACTACCTAACAGATAACATTTGTAAATACTCTAGGCATCTGTACACACTACGATGAAGTCTATCGTGTGACTGACCCACAGGCAGGTTGGTTTACATTAAATTTTTTAAGAATGGGATGTCCTATGGAAACCTATTTCACCAGAGTTTTAAAAATAAAAAGGGTATTGTTTTGTCTTCTGTACAGTGAGTTCCTTCCCTTTTAGTTTCATTTTGATACTGTATGTGGCTAGAGATACGCCTATAAAACAAGCGCATGTGATGTTTGCAAATTGCCTGTTGGCTTTCCTTTCAATGAATTGTCCTTTTGGAGCTGCTTTATACCTTGGTTTATTTGAAGTTGGCACATGCAGTCCGTTATCATTTTCAATTTGCACTGGGGACAACTTTTATAAGTGAAAAGGACCCAGTATTATATGGCTGTCTGAGATTGTAAGCATTCTATTTAGGACTAATCCCTAAAAACATTTAAAAAGTCCAGAGTTTCTTTCCCTCTGAATGAAATATACTCTAAGACCCAGCAACAGAATGGTTTTCCTTTCTAGTTCCTGCTTTTGCAAAGTGCCACCAAGCCTCCACATTCACCTGAGGTTGAAGTCCTTAACACTCAGCAGAAGAGGGAAAAGGATCTGAACAGTCTTGGGTTTCAGAAAACCAGGAGACTGTTTCATAACTCAATGGTGGCATTTCATTTTGGCTCCTTAAGTGTGGGGGCACTTCTTCTTTTCGTGTATGATTATAGTTAGTCTGTGGGAGCCCGTCTGAGTCTTTCAAGAGAGGGGAAGTCTTGCTTTGTTGTGGGTTGTATTGCCAGTGAGACCCAAGGCTGGGGAGTGTGTGTGTCTGGGGAGGTCCCTGAAGCCCACACACACTGTACAGCGGGCTAGGGCAACGGTCTTGGTGTGGAGTCAGACCACTAGGCTTGAGGTCCCTGCTCTGCACACAGGAGGTCTGTGGCCTTGGGCAAGTTGTCCCATTCTCATTTTCCTCACCTGTAAAATAGGGCCAATTAACATATAACTCCTAGGATAGTCCATGTGAAGTGCCTAGAGCAGTGCCTGGCATGTAGTAAGCACCAAGAGTTGACTTTGAAGGGGGAGTGACAGGAGCTCTTACCACATGAGGGTTTTGAATGTCTTACTCCCTGTGGGGTATTTAAACGTTTATGGTGTGTGAGGGTCTGGTGCCCCTTGGCTCACTTGCACTGCTTGAAAAAAGCTGGGGTAAGTGAAATGAGGGATCCCCAGCTCAAGGGATGGCAGAGATGGAGGGAGGGAGCACCCTTGGGAGACACCAGTCTCAGTTTGGCTTTTACAGAACAGGGTTGGTGCGACAGCAGAAGAAAATCATTATCCCAACTGACTCCTTTTTTTCCCTCCTCCCTTTTATGGTTCTCATTACTTTGAGTGCTTTCTGGTGGGTTGGGAGTTGTTAAGAGTTAACATGCTCTGATTGGAAAATGAATTTTTCTTATTGGGGCTTCCAAATAATCTTTTTTCTGGGGGTGGTCTCAGATGTTGCTCCTTCCAAACCTAAGACAACATTGGGTTCCTAAGGCTCTGTTTTTTTGTTTTTTTGTTTTTGTTTGTTTGTTTTAAATATAATTCTTTCCCCTCTGTGTTCTGGCTTTCATGAAATAAATTACAAGGGTCAGAACAAGGGGAAATGGGGCTTCTTGTCCTAACACAACAAAATCCCTTAATCTGGGGCCTTTTCAGTTGTAACTTTCTCACCTGTGATTGCATAAAGAAGCTTGATAATTTTGTTTTTAATTTTTAATATTTTTATTTATTTTTGAGAGACAGAGCATGAGTGGGAGAGGGGCAGAGAGAGAGGGAGACACAGAATCCGAAGCAGGCTCCAGGCTCTGAGCTGTCAGCACAGAGCCTGGTGAGGGGCTGGAACTCACCAACCACGAGATCGTGACCCGAGCTGAGGTCAGACGTTCAACTAACTGAGCCACCCAGGGGCCCCTCAAAAGGGAGTGCATTTAAATAGATGGTGCACTTCAGCTTAAAATCTTCAGACACATTTCTGTGGGTTGCAGAATTCCTGTCCTCTGTCACCATGGCTGATTTTAGCCCGTCTTACATAACTGAAGGCTCTGTCTGGGGTCTCTCTTCGGGGTCACTTTGTGTTGTTTCCTGGTGCCTATGGGAGAGTCAGGAAAGCAAAGGGAGCCATTCATTTCCCCCTGCAAATAAATTAACCTGCTGCTCATGGGGAGTGTTTTCCCCTGTCCTTGGGAAATTTGATGTAATTTCAGATCATAGATAAATTGACTGTTAGTAGGGCAATACAGCATGTCTCTGTTGGCCATGCCAGATTCCAGGCTGCTTTTAATTGGGGGCAGTGTCTTAATTGCTGCCTTAAGTTCTATGTACTGGCATTTTCCATGGGGTCTTCAGATCCTGTGACTCTGAGAAGGAGATAATAGGTGTGTGTATAAGCGAGGCAAGATGGGGGAGCAGGGATCAAACATTCACGCAGGGTAAGGCAGCTCTTGCTGATTAAAATGCATTTTGTTTCTGGTCTGAAATGTCAAGTCAGCTTGGCAAGACTCCTTATCTATCCTCTGTTGTTTGGAAGCTTTAATGGGCAGTAAGGTATGAATCTGATTATTTTAAATGAGAAACAAATATTGATAAATTTGTTAGACCACATCTTTCAAAACAGGGTCTGTGGTAAAAATTTGGTACCTACAACTCTGGCCACTTGAGGCTTCGAGATGGGCCCTGTGCTGCTTGAATCTTTAGCTGCAGTTGAAGCAGACTCTTCTGCTGTGGTCCCTGGAGGTGGTGGGGGGTGGTGGGGGGTCAGGGAGAAGGTGGTAGCCACCTGTAGGACCTGCAGAGGAAAAGAATCACATGGTGTCTTCAGTTGGTTCAAATGTAAGCTATTAGTAGGCTGAAAGCCTAAGTAAATTCATAGGGACTTTGGATAAAATAAATTATGGTTGATACTTACAAATAGCTTCTAAAGGAAAAAGTTAGGATGTTGCAGATACACATCGAACCTCTGAGTTAGACGTTAGAGCAAGCGACCACGCTCCCACCAAGGACGCTGGCATCTCCCACGTCTGCACTGGAGAACTGGTGGGTGAGGGGGTCTGCACAGCTCTTCCTGCCCAGTAGCCGGCACAGGGAAGTGAGCGTTCCACAGCTGATGTCACTGTTTTAGTTCAAGAGATACTTATTTTGCTTGGAACCCTTTTTTGTGTTTTTGCTTGTTTTTAAAGAACCAACTTTTAAAAAATGGCTACAATATAGCAATTAAAGGTGAAATAATGTTTCATTAGTGGAAGGGCTTATATTTCAGTCATCAGCGGTTCGCTTTGGCAAAGACATTTCCTCTCTCTGGACCTCAGTCTCCGGATCAGCCATAAAATGGAGAAATCAGGCAGCAAGGTTGCTCACAGATTCCTTCCATCTGCATTCGCTGCCCACGGTCTCTTGTGTAGATTACATGCAAGGGTGATGGTGGGTTTGTGGGAAGCTGGTGGACCTGGAATGTCCTTCTAGCTCTCTTCTGGTTCCCTCACCACCTCAAGTCTTGATCTGTGGAGGCCACGTCCCCCTGTTGCCTCAGACCACAGAGGGGGAGAATCCTGGTCGTATTCGTGAACTTAGGGGCTTTGTGAGAGGTGCTGCCCCACCCCCGATGCCAAACCTGCTTGGTCTGGGGCCCCTGATGTAAAACTTATACAGCGATACGGACCCAGACCGGAAAATGGAAACGTCTGGCAGCTGAGCAGTCCACAGAACAAGGAAAAAACAGCTTTGCTTTGCTTGGCCCATTGCTTCAATATCTTGTAGTTGGTTTTTTATTTCTTGGAAACAACCAACTTTTCATTGTTGTTTGCCTTCTGTGTCTTCTCTTTAGCCATTAGGAGTTTTCCTCCCTGTCTCTCCACCCCTTCCCCGGCTTTTACTCTTATTTTTGTGAATTCAGTTCCTTTAACACTCCAAGACTAGTCTAAAACAGTAATAGCAAATATTTATCTAGTGCGATGCACCAGTTTCTATACAAAGGGCTGCACGTATGTCGATTTATGTAATCCTCATACCAGGTGAATGAAGTGGTGCTGTCCCCATTTTACAGATAGTGTCTCCAGAGGCACAGAGACGTTAAGGTTACAAGGTGGCACAACTGGAATTTGAGTCCCGGCAGTCTGGCAGTCCGGCTCCATAGCACATGTTCTTAATCTCTCCGCCATATTGTCTTTTCATCTTGATTTAAAGGAGAAGAAATTGAAGAATGCAGAAGGGAAGCCAGGACTGCCTGAGAATTAAGGCTAGGTTTTTTCATCTCTCCCCTAGCATCTCAGAGATAGTTGTGATTCGCAGCACAGGTATGCCCAGCCTAGATGGAAGACCCCTTGTCAATGTCTGTTTGTTCCTATTACAGGTTTCTTTAGAATGTGGAAGGTAGTGTGTAGTTGTTAGCTGTAAAGTCATGAGTTTGGAGGTGTTGTGCGGTGTAGGAGCAATTTGCTTGCCTTCTTTTCACAGAACTTCAGGTAAGGCTTCTTATGCTCTTACCTAGCTTGAAAGATTAAGGTAAACCATTTTGCAAAGTATAACAAGGCAAAATTATTAATTGTAGTTGAAACTGCACATGAGAGAACAAGGAATACTTCATTGCGGTGTCAAATCTTTCTATGCTTGGTTGTGCCAAAGAATTTTTTTCGGAAAAAAACTTGTGCAAGATGTTGGCAGTGATGTCTTAGGCTTTATCTTTTTAAATAAGTGTTCGTGGTTCTTACGTCATTGTTGCTGTTATTATTTTGATAAGTGTGCATTACTAATGATGCTCTCTGTCAGGGGTTCGTTCTCAAACTTCTGTTTGCTTGAGAATCATGTATAGTGTTTGTTAAAATTGCAGAGACCTTGACTCCTTTCCAGAGAATCTGATTCTGCAGGTACTGTGTGAGGCTGAAAAATGCTTTTTTTTTTTTTTTGGCTTTGCATTAATTAAAATTTCTTGAATAGTACAAAATTTGAAAGTTATAAAATGCCCTTCTAACCCCTGCTCTAACAGGCCACTCTGTTCTTCTCCCAGATGTAACTTCTTATTTCTTGTATTGATTATACATATTGACTGTTGGTGCATACACAAGCATATGCAAATATATATACTCGTTTTTTTGTTTGTTTTTTACACATGTGGTAGCATACTACACACATTGCATTTTGCTTTTTGCACTTAGTATACCTGGGTAGTTCATTATTTAATCAATGCCCTATTGAACATTTGTTTCCAATCTTTTGCT